GGATCTAATTCAACTAAAGAGCTTCTGCACAGCAAAAGAAACTACCATCAGAGTGAACAGGCAACCTACAGAATGGGAGAAAATTTTTGCAATCTGGCTAGCCATATGTAGAAATAAATTATGCATTAGAAATTTTACACCTCAGAGAAATTCCCAGTGGCCTTTGCAATCTACCCATCTGACAAAGGGCTAATATCCAGAATCTACAAAGAAATTAAACAAAGTAACAAGAGAAAAAACAAAGAACCCCATCAAAAAGTGGGAAAAGGATATGAATAGACATTTCTCAAAAGAAGACATTTATGCAGCCAACAGACACATGAAAAAATGCTCATCATCACTGGTCATCAGAGAAATGCAAATCAAAACCACAATGAGATACCATCTTACACCAGTTAGAATGGCGATCATTAAAAAGTCAGGAGACAACAGATACTGGAGAGGATGTGGAGAAATAAGAACACTTTTACACTGTTGGTTCAGTTTTACACTGTTGAGCGTAAGCTAGTTCAACCATTGTGGAAGACCGTGTGGCGATTCCTCAAGGATCTAGAACTAGAAATACCATTTGACCCAGCCATCCCATTACTGGGTATATACCCAAAGGATTATAAATCATGCTGCTATAAAGACACACGCACACGTATGTTTATTGAGGCACTATTCACAATAGCAAAGACTTAGAATCAACAGAAATTCCCATCAATTATAGACTGGATAAAGAAAATGTGGCACATATACACATGGTATATACTATGCAGCCATAAAAATGATGAGTTAATGTCCTTTGCAGGCACATGGATGAAGCAGGAAACCATCATTCTGAGCAAACTATTGCAAGGACAGAAAACCAAATAGCACATATTCTCACTCAGGTGAGAATTGTACAATGAGAACACTTGGACACAGGGTGGGGAACATCACACACTGGGGCCTGTTGTGGGATGGGGTTAGGGGGAGGGATAGCATTAGGAGAAATACCTAATGCAAATGATGAGTTAATGGGTACAGCAAAGCAATATGGCACATGTATATCTATATAACAAACTTGCATGTTGTGCATATGTACCCTAGAACTTAAAGTATATATATATAAAAAAAGTACAGATGACAGTAGGAAAATATCCCCCATTTGGTATTTGGAAGAGGACTGTTTAGTTTGTCTTGCTGTATATGAACTCACTAACAAACTACAAAGCTGTAAACTTGTTGGATACCTTTAAAATAAATTATGCATTAGAAATTATACACCTCAGAGAAATTCCCAGTGGCCTTGGATAAGAATAGTAAGAAAGACTTATGTCAGATTTTGGTTTGTTTTTTGAGACAGGATCTGGTCTCACTTTTTCACCCAGGCTGGAGTGCAGTGGTGTGACCTTGGCTCACTGCAGCCTCAACCTCCTGGGCTAAGGCGATCCTCCCGCCTCAGACCCCCAAGTAGCTGTGACTACAGACACATGCCATGCCTGGCTAATTTTTGTATTTTTTGTAGAGATGGGGTTTGGCATGTTGTCCAGGCTGGTTCTGTCAGATTTTAAGTGTCTATTGTATGAAATAGCTTATACAATCTATATCAGTGAAAGGTACTTGATTGTATTTCATTAATAAAAATTAAGTTTAAAACTGTATATAATTTCAGTTTTCTATAAATATTTCATTAAAACCGAACAGAAACATAAATCAAGTCCTATTCTCTCCCATGTGTGTGGAAATAAGAATAAATGCTTGTTTTCAGGGTGACAATATCCACATAGCAGGCCACTGGTTAGAGTCAACAGCAAAGAAGGAAAAGAGAATTTGTACATACTGTAAAAAGGGCACACATTCGTTCGATCTTCTCTGGGTTCCTTGGCCCACCATTCTTGTTCAGTCTTACCAGAAACCGCTCACTGAAATGTACGAAAGAAAGATACAGAGAAATGTGAGTAACACACTCCAGAACAGAGGAAAAGGGCAGATAAGGAAAAACACTAAACATATTTACATAACAGCTTGCAGTGACAAGCAAGGCCAAAAACACATGTCTAGTGGCAGGATACCCTCTTTTTTCCTGCTAAGTAACATACAAAGGATACTACAAACTACCTGATAGGTGCTTCTGTTTATTTGCTGATTGTAGCTGTGTGTTTTATCTATTTAAGGTGTGTGCTCCCTGAGGGCAGTAAGGAGGGCAGTAATTTCTCCCAGATATTCCCAAAGCACTGGCATGATGCAAAATCCATAACAAGCATATACATTCTTAGATGTGAGCACTCAGATCATAAAACCATTCATCATATTAGATCCGAAAGAATCTACATTACCAAATTTACATCTTCTATATCAGAAGTCCCCAATCCCCGGGCTGCAGACTGGTATGGGCCCGTGGCCTGTGAGGAACTGGGCCACACAGCAGGTGAGTGGCAGGTGGGCAAGTATTACCACCTGAGCTCTGCCTCCTGTCAGATCAGCAGTGGCATTAGATTTTCATAGGAGTACAAACCCTATTGTGAACTTCACGTGGAGGGATACAGGTTGTATGCTCTAACTAGCGCCTGATAATCTAAGGTAGAGCTAAGGTAGAACAGTTTCATAGAACAGTTTCATTCCAAAACCATCCCACACCACTGCCTCCACCCATCAGTCCATGGAAAAACTAGCTTCCATGAAATTGGTCACTGGTGCCAAAAACAATGGAGAATGCTGTTTTATATAACTCTTGAGAATCACTTTAGGGCAGCGGCATCCAATCTTTTGGCTTCCCTGGGTTGCACTGGTAGAAGCATTGTCTTGGGCCACGCATAAAATACACTAACACTAATGGTAGCTGATGAGCTAAAAAATAAAAATCAAAATTTAAAAAGTCTGACGATATTTTAAGAAAGTTTATGAATTTGTGTTGGGCTGCATTCAAAGCCATTGTGGGCTGCATGTAGCCTGTGGACTGCAGGTTGGACAAGCTTGCTTTAGGTCTTAAAAAATGTTACAGCAACATATAAAAACTTTGGTGGAAATTCAAAAAGAAATGATGTGTTATAGCTAAAGCTACAATCAGAATTTAATAGAGCCACTAACTATTTTATTCTCCAAATAATATACACAATTTCAGAAGAAAATTACAATTACTAGACTAGAAAACTTTAGAAACAGTGTTTGCAACGTTTGGAGAAATGTCTCTTTACTCTCGCATCTCCTTCCTGCCCCTGTGCAGAATCTCATTCCCATCTCTTTATCCGAAGATTCACTACCAGCTGTAAAGGAAAACTGTGCCATGGTGAAGACAAAGTATGTGATTCCAAAAGTAACTTACTTATTTTGTGCCTCCAGTCATATATTCATGGAATATATGTGGTATCAGTTTAGTTTGCTCATGTATTCATTGATCAGTCTACAAATTGTTATTAAGTCCTGTGTACTTGGCATGTGAATATAAATGTGAACAAGACATATACAAGGTACTTTTTCCTCATACAGCTGTGGTCCTGGTAGGCAGTTAGACATGCAGAAATAAATCTCAGAAAGATTTGGGTCAGACATAAATTTGAGATTCTTCAGTCAGGGGAACAAACGGGAATAAGCAGGGAACATGCAAAGAACAAAGAGGAAAGGGGGCTTTGGTCAGAATGCTGAGGGACAATGACATTTAAGAAATGGGTAAAGAAAAACTATCAAAGTAGACACAGGGGCAAATGGAAAAACAGAAGAAAAATATGAAGGATGGTAAGATGTTGCACTGGTCAAGAGAAGAGAGTGTTTGAAAGAGGAGGGAGGGGTCAGCAAGGTCCAGGACCGTTGAGAGTCACATGTAACAAGGACAAAACTCTTGAACACAGATCACTGGTGATTCTGGCAAGAACTGTTTTAATGAAATGGTAGAGAAAGATGCCAGTGTAAGGAGTAAGAAAGAAATGATGAAGCACAGTCTAGACCACACTTTAAAGAATGATTGTGAAGAGGTGGAAGTGATGCATTTTTAGTTAAATGGGCATGTGGGGTTGAGGGAGGTCTTTGTTAAAATATGGGATAACCCATATATACAAAGTCAATTGATTTCAAATAAAGGTATCAAGGGGGGTATACACCACGTTCAGCAAATGGTGCTGAACAATCCATATGAAAAAACTAAGCCTTGACCCTTGCTTTTAAAAATTAACTTGAATGTATCACAGGCTCAAATACAAGAGCTAAAACTATAAAAGAAGAAAACTCAGTGAAAAACGAAGACAAGTATCTTGTATATCTTTTTCACATTTGTTTCCACATTTAGCACATAGTAGAGAACTTTCTGCGGCCCGAGATTATTAAGCAAAAATCACAAATCACAACAAAATGATAAATTAGACTTAATTTAGACAGAAATTAAAAGTTTTCTTTTTAAAAGACACTAGTAAGAAAAGGAAAGGACAAGCTACAGACTGAGAGAAAATAATCACAAAACATTCACCTAAGAAAAAATTGTATTGAGAACATATAAAATGCCCAAAAAGAATAAACATTCAAATAAAAAATGGACACAAGATCTGAACAAACCCTTCACCAAAGGATGTGCAGAGATGGCAAATAAGCACAACAAAATATCATTAATCATTAGAGAAATGCAAATTAAAAACACAGTGAGGGCTGGGTGCAGTGGCTCACACTTGTAATCCCAGCACTTTAGGAGGGTGAGGCGGGTAGATCTCCTGAGGTCAGGAGATCGAGACCAGTCTGGCCAACATGGTGAAATCACATCTCTACTAAAAATACAAAAATTAGCCAGTCATGGTGGTGGGCGCCTGTAATCCCAGCTACTCAGGAGGCTGAGGCAGAAGAATCGCTTGAACCCAGGGGGCAGAGGTTGCAGTGGGCCTAGATCGCGCCACTGCACTCCAGCCTGGGCAAAACAGCAAAACTCCATTACAAAAAAAACAAAAAACACAGATACCATTACACACCTACTAGAATAGCTATAATTAAAGAAAGAATATACTGGCCAGGCGCAGTGGTTCACGCCTGTAATCCCAGCACTTTGAGAGGCCGAGGCAGGCAGATCACTTGAGGTCAGGAGTTCGAGCCCAGCCTGGCTCGAACATGACGAAACCTCGTCTCTACTAAAAACATAAAAATTAGCCGGGCATGGTGGCATGTGCCTGTAATCCCAGCTGCTCTGCTCTGGAGGCTGAGGCAGGAGAATCACTTAAACCCAGGAGGCAGAGGTTGTAATGAGCCGAGATTATGCCATTGCACTCTAGCACGGGCAACAAGAGAGAAACTCTGTCTCAAAAAAAAAAAAAAAAAAGGAATCAATATACCAAAGGTTGGTAAGAATGTCGAGGAACTAGAACTAAACCTCTTATAAACTGCTGGTAAGAATGCAAAATGGTATATCCACTTTGGAAAACAGCTTGATAGTTTCTTATAAACATACACATACTAAATGACCCAGTAATTCTCCTCCTATGTGTTTACTCAGGAGAAATAAAAAAAATCCACAAAGATCTATATATAAATATTTATAACAGCATCATCCACAATGGCCAAAACATGTAAGAACCCAACTATCCATCGGGGGATAAATGAATAATCTACATAATAGAATATCATTTCACAATTTTAAAAAACAAACTACTGGGATGTATAATAATATGGATGAATCTCAAAAGCATTATACTAAATGAAAAAACCCAATGAAAAAAGGCCATAGGCTCTATGTCTCCATTTATATTGCATTCTGGAAAAGGCAAAATTATAGGAACAGAAATCAAATCAGTTGCTAGGGCTGGGGAAGAAGGGTAGGGACTGACTGCAAAGGTACAGGAGGGAACTTTTTAGAGTGATGAAATGTTCTATTTTTGACTGTGGTGATGGTTTCACAACTATATACATTTGTTAGGACTCACTGAACTGTGCATTAAAAAGGGTGAATTTTACTATGTATAAATTACATTTTAAAAACCAGACTCAAAAAAAGATGGAATACACCTAAGAAAATGTGTATCTAATGGGACAAGGCTTATAGAAAGAGAACTACTGAAGACACAGGATATAACTGGTAAAGGAAAATCACTGAGTAGGTGAAGAGGGATAGAATCCAGGAAAGAGTGAAGAAGGAAACAATAGGTGTAGATACAAATAAGCTGTGGTTTTAGTAATAGTGTAGATACAAATAAGTTGTGAGTTTTATCACAGACAGGAAATAAATAACAATAAAGTAAAAAAAAAAAAAAAAAAAAAAAAAGAAAACGAAAAATAACAGAAATAATTTTCAAGACCATTTAAGATAAAATATAATGGGGAAAAGTAGAAAAGACAGCTGTGACACAGACAAGTGAAAAAGTGGCAAAAACATAGAGTCAAGGCAATCCTCTCTCCAAACTCTTATAGCAAAGAGAACTACTGACGATGACACGAGCGACTGGATAGAACTGGGTAAAGGCGCAAAGATCACTGGAGTAGGTGCAAGGCAGCGGCGACGTAGAATCCAGGGCAAAAGAGTGAAGAAAGGAAACAATAAGCGTGGTAGACTACAAATAAGCTTGCTGGTTTTAGTAATAGTGTAGATACAAGAAAAGAGACACAGACAGAAATTAAATAACCTGAATAAAGGT